ACAGTGTGGCTGAAGAGGACAGCGGCAGGAGAAGTTATAATAACCCCTGTCCAGAGGAACACTTTGGTTCTGAAGATAGGGCAGGAAAGAAGCTTTAAAGAGCTGTTAAAGAGCTGGGGTTGAAGTGTCCTTATCTGTACAGAAACTGAAGGCTGCAGGGTCAAGTGGGTCTTGTGCCCGGCTAGAGCAGATAGTGAGGTTAGAAAGTTGTGGGAGAATGCTGGTAGGATCATAGTTATGTGAGAAAATAAGATGGTTCATGGAGAAAGCGACGTGTCCCAGTTCATTTCAAGAAAATGAAATGAAAATCTATTCAAGTCAGCAACCTTCATTTAAACATGCAAGGAAGACACCAGGGTTATAACTTTTCTGTCTGTGCCCTGAAGCAAGACAAGAACTCTACAAAGATATTAAGTGAGTGTATTAAAAGGCAGAAGTACAGGGCTGAAATGAATACAGTTATAGAAGGGGAAACTGATCATTTGCAAAACATTTGTTTGTGTGAGGACTAGCCACAGGTGGGTTATTGGTGCTGAAAGCAGAAGGGCCGTTTTGGCAGGAAAACAAATAGAGAGGACTGAATATTTGATGCGGCTGCTCTGCTGGAAATAAACATTGGTGCAGACAGATAAAAGACAGAGGAATGATATGTGGCCATTTAAGGGCACCGGCAATATCAAAACAGAAAAAATAAATCATGTTAATAAAATCCACACTGTGTGAACATGCTTTTGTATGCAGCGTCCCTTGTCTGTTCCGTAGCTCTAGAAACAGAAAAGAAAGTCAAAAAGAGAGGAGGTGGCTCAAAGAAGTCAACATTAACAACAGCAAAAGTGACTGAACAGCAAAGTCCAAAGGAAATATGAATACATTTCATGAGGAACTATCAAAATGCAGGTTAAAAAAAAACAGAGGGGGTATAACTCTGAAGTCAACTCTGAAACTTTGACTATCATATACCTGATATAAAATAAAATGTTTGTGAAAGTGTATCATCACTGAAGATGTTTGGTAATACCTGCACTTTAGGTGTTATCCATCTTGGACTTTCATGTTTGTCCAAACCTCTTAATTTATTGGTTTAAATCCACATTGCAGGTTATTTTGATCCATGCTAGCTTGGCTCAAATCATGGTAATATATCTTTTATTGTGGTTGGAACCGACAACAGGCTTTTAAATTGCCTCAAATATCTCAAGGGCAGGGTGACGGCTCCAAGTTGTGCATTAGACCAAAAGAATAACGTGTACCTATTACTAATTTATTTAAAGTTTGGTATCCCAGTTTCTAATTGTGGTGACTGCAGTGCAAACCCATTTCCAAACCACCTTGGAAAGAGCTGGTGGAGGGGCAAAAAAACTTGGACTGCGATTCCAAAGCAAGGTAATGCTTCAATAATTTAGCCATTTAAAAATGTTGCACACAGATTTTGCTTAACAGGATAAAACTCCTAACTCTCCTGCCCATTTCCTTCTCTTAAGGATAAATAAAATGATTTCAAAATAAATGCTCCCTATTACAGAGCTCTGACAGAGCATTCATGCTGGTTAATGGTTGTGTTGATGTGAGAGGTTCCTCTTTTTCAGTACAATCATCTTGTAAAAAGATCATAAAATACATCTGCTTCTCATTGTGGGTAGCTTCTTGTTATTTGCTGGCACCACTCTTTATTAACAGAGAGACCACATGCAGCTGAAAACATTCGTCATGTAGCGATAAAGTGATGGCAAGTGTTAATGAGTCGTGTTTGGATAGTAGATAAAGAAAGAAGGTCGTCGGATGTGTCCTAGAGACACAAAAAGGTGACCGAGAGGGTTGTAGAAAGTATTTTAGACTCACCAAGTACATGAGGAAAAATGCTGTTACATGTCAGATGCAGCTGAATTTGCTTTGTCGGGTACTGCACAGTGCTTGAAAACACTTCCTATGTATTATGGCCTTAGGGAAGATTATATTACAGCTGTCAGCTTTTGAAGGCATTTCACATTTTGCTACATCGTGCTTTAACACACCACAAGAAACAACACACATCAAGTGGAAAAACTGGGGCATTTGAATGAGCAGAAGCATCAAAGAGAGAGTGTCAAAGTTCAGACAATAATGTATCATTGTGTGTGTAAATCAGTGGTGTGGGCTGTCGAAGTCATGGCCTGGACTTGAGTCAAAGTCCAGTTTCCAATTGCTTGACAAAAATCAAAACAGAACAAAATCAAAACTAAAAATTTGCACTTAGAAGTGTGTTTGGTTCCACTGGCCATTCAACTTTTTTATTAACTGAAACAATTTGCACTTGAATTGAGACTTGATGGTCTTGATTTACAACCTAACCAACACTGGATACGTACTTGTCACTTACAAAACATTGACTCCGTCATACTGTCAGTTAATAAACCTGGTACTCTTATTACTGCAAACGTTGCACAAAATATTTATTTTAGCTAAAATATAAATCAGTGCACGTATAACGTGATGAAGCATATCTGATATTTCTCATGCTCCAAAAGATGCTAACAAAATTTCAATAATTTCACCTTAAACTGGATATTCACACTACATTGTGACATCTATTATAATAAAGTAGAGATGTGAAAAATACTAAGGTTTAACAGATTGGTCACATTAGTTTCATCTGTGTTCCTTTATTGCACCACTTTCTACTAAAAAGCACAGTATTAAATATTTTAATAGCCAAGCACACATAATCGAGAATAGCATGCAAAATAGGCAACAGATTTATCGTGACTACCTCTCTGCTGATGTGTTGTTTCCATTAATGTCTTATCTGTGCAGCTTAATGCTACTGTTGTGGCTCTTGGCTGTTGTTCATCCTTCAGGAAAGACGCTCCTGATCATGCCTTCTTTGTCTTTGGAACAAGTTGTTGTCAAACAGCCACTAGCCAGAAATTGTTGCCGACAGAGAATGGACACAAGAACATATTGTATATACAGGCGGACATGGTTTTAACAAGGAATCCTCACTGAAAAAATGACCATCATCACTGACAGTAGCTTTTAGCAGTGCTGCTCCCCCACTGGTGACAGGGAGCACTGTTGTTAACTCAGCCACAAAGTTATTTCTTCATTAAAAGAGCGAAAATAACAGAAACAATTGTAGTATGATAACTCTGTAAACAATTGGTTGCTACAGTAGCAACAGACAGCTAAATTTGTCCCCCAATCCCAGTGTCCACACTGTCAGACTCACGGACTTTGAGTTAGTGAGGGCTCAGGGCTGTCCCACTGTGAAATCAAGTGCACGAGGGCTCTCTCACCTTCATTTTGATCCATTTATGCTCACTTTGCGTAAGCTGGCATTTTGGCAGACTTTACCTTTTGAGGGAAACACCCATTTAAGATGGTACGATAGAAGCAAGTGGGTAACAGATGTTATTTGAAATGTATGTACATTACTCTGGGTAGTGAACACTAGGTTCAATTGTTTTGTGTATTCTAAAAACCAGCTATCAGTGTCTGTCATCTTTGTCAGCCCTGCAGGACTGTAACCACATACTGAGGTAAATCCATCAGGCACTTATTAAAGCTTGAAAAGCACAGCAGCCTCCGACCAGCCGCTCTGCAGAAACCGCTGTGTTTGGGTGTTTGTGTGGTGTCCATTCGAACTTAGTTCGCTTCATCACACACACCAGAGCATGCAAACAGCTTTGACAAGTACATGCAGAGACACAACTTACAAGCCACAAATACACACACTCCCCCTATTGCTATGTTTGGGACTGTGTGCGCTGTGTTCTGCCGGATCTCAGGAGCAGTCTCAGTGTGTCTTTCTTCTTTTTTTTTCCCAGGCAGCCATCTCTACTCGGCCTTGCCATCTGTTCTCCATGCTGTGGAACATGGCGCTCCCTCTGGCTGCAGGCGTTTTCACATGGTGGCAAAAATTGTCAGTTGAAGTTTAAAAAAAAAAAAATGCTCAGAAGTGGTTCAGAACACAACTTAAGAGTTTTTTAGGGCAGTTAAGCCCTCCAGTCAGTAATTTTCCAGTTTTGAATTGCAGAGTTATTGCATATCGATGGTTTTTATAATTTGTGTGGGTGGGTGTGGCTCAGGTAGAGCGGGTTGTCTCCTAACTGGAAGGCTGGTGGTTCAATTCCTGGCTCCTCCAGTCTACATGCCAAAGTGTATTTGAGCAAGTTGCTGAACCCCAAATTGCTCCCAGTGATGTCACCAGTGTATATGTGTGTGCACATACTTGGGAGTGTAAATGGGCAAATAGTGTGAAAGCATTTTGAGTGTGCTGCACTGCTTAGAACAGCGCTACATAAGTAGTGAATTCAGCCACTTTACAAGGCAGAAGTGAGCAAATGTGTTGGTTGGTTTAATGTGTATTTACTATACGTGTTGTGTCCTTTCTACATGTCAGTTACCCTATTAACCCAGCTTGCCACCTGCTAAGGTTAGGCACAAAAAGCTACATGAGAAGCTTTTCTATGCATGTTCGTAACAGTGCAATAAACAAGGGAATAACAAGGGTTTTCTGAGAAATTCTGTCAGTGCCTAATATTGGGTTTCATTTTACAATAATAAATTAGTTATTTTCATAAAAATAGACAAACCTCAAAACAGATTTAACAGATGTCAGATTGTCAGTTTTGGAAAATTACAAAAATGGCTGGACACAGGCTTCCCTTATCTGAAGTGTTGGAGGAGGCGGTTTCTTAAGCTACGCAAGAACCAGACAGAGGAATAAACCCTGCTTTAGAGCAGAGCTACTGGGCAGATCTGACAGGGTTATGTTTTACTAAATCTGGACAAGAGAACAACTGGGAATATGGGAACTACATTGTTTCATTCACAGCAGGGGAAAGAAGAAACCCACATACACACACGTAAGGACATGTATGAACAAGGACATATTTATGCACTACTCTATACACAGGAACCTGCATACGCTCTCACACACAAAATCGAAGTCTGCTGTGCCTCCCAGAACTCCCATCTGGTGAAGCAGCAGTCCAGGTTGGTCTTAATGAGAAATAATGAGCCTTCACTAAATAACAACAGTTTGGATGGATTCCACCTCTGATTCAGATTTTATTAGAATGGCAAGTATCAAAATGAACACTTCGATGCAAAATGACATTTGACATTTGATTTTCCTTTCATTCCTTTGTCTCTGGGTAGCACAAATGAATTTTAAAGCTCATTGCCTATTGATACATTTAAACATCCTATAACTAATGTATAGTGCCATCAAACTGCTGTTATAGTTATTCACTGCGGGGCATAGAAAAATGTTATTAAACTTAAGTACTATTTATATTAATAACGTAATTTTTCTCACCATCTCCCTGATGGATAAAAACAAAGTACAATTAGATTTGTCACACTGACCTCCCTAAATTTTGATCACAAACCTGGGTTTAAAGGAGCTCAAAAGGGAATGAAACGCCTAACTTCAAATTTTGACATTTTTCTCTAATAAATCAGAGCAAGATGGTATCGCCAAGCTTCCAACAGCTGGCACAGCCGCGAGCAAAAACACTAACAATGTGGGTGTGGTTGTCCAAAAAGGACCAGGCATCAAGTCAAAGAATCCAACTGGTCTTGAATGATTTCAAGCTGGAAGAAAAATAAGAAAAGGTTGAGCGTTTGGAAAAAAGAAGTACACTATAGAAACACACATGAAGAGGGAGACAAAGTCAGAAAAGAATGAAAAAGTGAAGTGGGACAACAAAATGTATGGAGGGACACAGGCAGGCAGGCAGATTTTGTCAGGCTGTGTCTGCCTATTAGGACAAAGATGCACAGAGAATATACAGGCAAAGTGACATGAAGGGGGATACATACACACTACACACATTGTTTCCATAACTTGAGAGGACATTACATTGACTTGCAGTACATTCATTAGTAGGAGACCTACCCTAACTATAGTCACTGTCTGACGCTAACCTAACCTCTAAAATTTAATGACTTACAGTTTGGGGACTTGTCCCTCACCCCACCACCCACAAACAAAATTCATGCACAATGACTGTGCAAGATTTACCCCCCCCACACACAAAAAAACCGACCTTGTTGTAGAACTCAAGCAGCTCCTGGTGGTTAAACTCAACGAAGACATTTTCCTGAACCTGGAGAAAGAGGAAGGGGGGGTTCAGAGAGGCCATCAAACAAGCTACTCAAAAAAATAATAAAAATAAGTTCAGGGAAGTAAAAGAGCAGAGGATAAAAAGCACTGATAAAAGCACATGCATAAGAAACATGACAGACTTCTTCAGTCTGCTTCTTGTGCATTCTATAAAAACCTCCATGAATTATTCCTGCTCTCTGACCAGAATGTACCATCCTCTTCTTCAAGTCTTATCCAGTGTTTAAAAAGTCACTGTCCTCAGACTCATGGTGGGAGAAGCCATCACTCTTTCGCCACGCTGTCTGGCTTACTTTTAAAAAGTAGAGACAAGCTACGTGGTTTGTAGCCCTGTAGCTAAATATGGTAAAATGCTCAACATATTAATTCAGCACTGACATCACAACATACATTAAGTTGCCAGTTTAATATAGTAGGTACTGTCCATCTAGCTACAGTAGAACTAAAGCAGTCTGATACAATCCAACAGTCCTGCAATAAATCCTCCATCATGGAGATGATGATAATGTTCAGTTTGTGTTCGTTTTAGAGATGTGCTGATCCGATTGTTTTGTCATTTTGGCAGCTGCAGTTTGAGGTGCTGTTCAATTTTAATGCATTGTACTGAAAAGGTGATTCTTTATAAAATTTACATTTGTGAACATCGTTACACTATTTTGTCACAAAACGCCAGTTATGAGAATTTTTGGACAACAGTTTGTTGAGAGACAACGTATACATGTCCCTGTTAGGTTCACCTGGGGGTCTTCTGCTTATTCTCTTACTTCTGAAAGGACTGTCAGCTTGACAAACTACAGAAGGAAGCGAGTTTTCCCAGAAAAACAAGGAACCAAGGGCAACCATTATGGAATAGCTGTCATCATCATCCTCACCCCATCAAAAACGAAGGCTGAACAATAATCCACACCCATGAGAGAGAGTGTAATGGCAAGACAGTTTATCAACACCCATCATTGAGAAAATAGCTATAATATGTGAAATGCTTTCTGGGTAGCACAGAATGAGAAGGGTGGTCTTGTAGCCAACCAAAGTGCACTCAGTGCCGTCACACTGACTGTTGATAATGGTGTTGAACTCCTGGCACCGACAAGGAGGGCAGGAGGAAAGAGCGACAGGCACAAAAAAAGAAACAAACAAAAAAAGAAATGTGCTAAAAAATACTAGGAGCACACGAGTTGTCTGTACTCTCCCATCTACAGCCCAACTGTTCTCCTCCCTGCAGTTTAGTGCTTAGAAACTAAATGGGGCTTCGGGGCCTGGAGCTAACTGGTCGGCTGGTTGGCTTGTTGACTGGCTGGTTGAGTGGGTGGAGGAAGGCCATGTGTCACAGTATATTAGTGACAGCGATATTAATTAGAAGCAACATTAAAAGTGCATAAAGGACAGCATAGAGGGAAAGTGTTCTCTCTTGTCAAAGTTCCCACTTCACAGCACAAGGAGAATGTAGGACAACCTTGAATTTAGATATCGGCAGAGGGAGCACTGCAAGGACAGCTAGTACACGACAGGAAATGAAACAACTTAAAATGCTGTTACCAAGTAATGAAAAGTAGATGCAAATTAAACTAGTTCTACAAGGTGATGAGATATTTCTCAAGAGTAAGCAAAGTTTTTGTTAGGTACTGCTGGGTGTTTGTGTGTTTGGCCAATCCCATTGTTCCTCAGGGTGGAACTTTTACCAGGCAGTAACCCAACAAAACTCTGACAAAGGGACAGGATGCATCACTCCCATCATCACAGCCCTATACAACCAGTAGGCGAGCACACACACACACACACACACACACACACGTACTTCTATCCTTGTGATACTCATTGACAATGATTCCCTAGCACCTTACCCTAACACTTTACCATCCAACTAGACTTTGCTGTAGTAATCTAAGCATATTCCCAAAAGTCAGACATCCGTGCAATGAAGACACTGATACTAGAAGCAGGAATAATGGCCAGACTACAAAAACAAAACCCAAGTTGCAATACAGCGAACCAGAGCAAACAATTATTTTAAGAAGTGCAGAAGTGAACAGGTGTACTCTGCATACGCTCGGAGAGTAACTCATCTGACGCTGTAGAGATGAGCGACCTGTAGCTGCTCCACTGAGGCCAATTTAATGACTTTAAACTTGGAAAGGATTTTGTTTTGTTTAGCAAACTAGTTAATGTATTCCAACTGATAACAAAAATGATATTCAATAAGCAGTACCTTTATCCCATCAAGTGATTACTGGTGTCAGTTTAAGACCATGGTGTACAGTGTTGAACAGTGGTATTCTCATGCCACAAGGAGTCGGTGTGAATGGGGCTGTGTGGATGCAAAGGACACCCTTCAATAATTACTTTCCTCAGTACAATAAAGAATAGCTTGGATTTA